TACAGTCAGTGATGGTCTTTATATACAGTCAGTGATGGTCTTTATATACAGTCAGTGTCTTTATATACAGTCAGTGATCATCTTTATATACAGTCAGTGTCTTTATATACAGTCAGTGTCTTTATATACAGTCAGTGATCATCTTTATATACAGTCAGTGATTATCTTTATATACAGTCAGTGTCTTTATATACAGTCAGTGTCTTTATATACAGTCAGTGTCTTTATATACAGTCAGTGATCGTCTTTATATACAGTCAGTGATCGTCTTTATATATTTGCTCAGACCCCTGCTGGACAACAACTGTACTGCGTGATGCTGAACCTTTGGGGTGAGACCCATAATTCCTCACTGTGGCATCCATGTTGAGAGCATGATGTTATATAAAGTCTATATAAAAACAGCGACCTGCAGTTTCTCTCCAGTTGACACCAGGTGCATGTTGGGAAGAAACTTAGATAAAGGGATGGAAACTCACCTGAGGACGGACGATGGCAGCAGAGACGTTGTCTGGTCCACATGAGACGTTCCCATCACCAAGCGTCAGACATGTCTGAAGGTTCTCTTCATGCTCGACCTTCTTCACTCCTCCTCCTCCTCCTCCTCGTCCTCCTCGTCCTCCTCGTCCTCCAATCACCTCGTCTGGTTTCCCGCCACAGAGCGTGTGATGTCAGTGGCTGAGTGAGTGTGAATAAACTTGATGAGTGTGAAACTTCGTTAATGAACAGATTTCACATCATGAGTTCATCAGACTGAAGAAAAAACTTCAGCTCAGTGAAACGTCGGAGAACGAAGCGTCGGTGACGAAGCCTCGAAGCGTCGCTGGTTTCAAAAGCTGCAACACTTCTGCATGAGACGCTGCATCCTCCACCTGCAAACAGGAAACCACACGAGCACACCCCCTCCCCCCAACCATCGCCTACTTTCTTCTTCTGAGAAGAGTCAGAGATGCGAGGGGGGGAGGGGGGGAGGGAGCATCAGACACAGTAACTAAAGAGAAAGCAGTGTCTCGATCCCCCTGGTGGCTGGCTGCGGTGTGGCATCATAAATCAAGGCAGACGTCAGATAAAGGTGTTTCTGTGGCTTCAGGTCGTCCTTCTCACGCTGATACGTTTTCTACAGCAGCTGACCAATCAGGGCGCGGGGGGGGGTCTTAAAGAGACAGAGGCTGAAACCAAGAGTTTGAGACAGAGGCTGAAGACAGAAGCAGCAGCGATGGACAGTCGGAGGAAAGTGATTCTGGAGATGAGAGCATGAAAACATTTTCAGACTCTGACGTGTTCTTCTTCAGTGATCGTCTTCGTTAACGAGACAGAGACCGAAGGACAGAACGTTTCAGTGAATCTTAAAGCTCCAGAGAGATTCAGGACGTTTTCACTGGTTCATTACATCTAAATTATAATGGTGGTTTTCTGTACCTCGGAAAAGATCCTTTATATTCACATACTTTATATTCAAATACTTTATATTTACATGGAGGGGACCCTCTCTACGGAGGCCTCCATGTTTTTTACATTAGTCCAGACTGGACAAACTAAAACCTTTTGAGTTTTTATAACAACTGAAGCTGCCACAGGTTCTTCTTCATGTTTGGAAGGAGAGGGGGAGGGGAGGGGTGTTCAGCTGCAACATGACACTTCACCACTAGATGTCACTGAATTCTACACACTGAACCTTTTAAGAACCGTGTCTTCTAACTGTATTTTCTAGATCTGCATCTGTGTCGATAAAGTAAAAATGATAATTCTGGTTTGAGCTTCGTGTTCGCTGCAGATGAAGAATCTGACATTTGATAAATCTGAAAGTTTCTGTAAATAAAACACGGACGACTTCCAACATATCAAACTGTTCCTTTAATAACATGAAGCTGAAACACTCTGACAGACGACGGCGATTCTTCCCTTCGTTACCTTCGTCCGGAAGCGCTGAGAGGCAAGTGTGTTTTTTTAATTTTTGAAAGTTAACTTAAATTAATCTGTGAACAAACTACCAGGGTGATTTTTCATCTGTGAAAACAGGTTATATACGATGTCGTCAAACTTCCCAAAGTGTCTCTGTGACAAAACATTTTAAATCATTTGTGATGTTAAAGAACTTTATTTTCCTTAACGTAAAATCCTAAATTTAAATTTCCAGTAAAAACACACAGGGTGCATCTGAGTCTCTTTGAAAAAGAAACACCTCTCAGAGCCTCCGTACTCACTGAAACACTGACCTACCTGAGCGTGTTAATACGAGACAAACACTGTCATCCTGTGCAAACACATTATTGTCCGACAAGTTTATTCTGGTTTAATATTTCACAAAAAAGGTAAAATAGTTCGAGATTAAACTTTGATTAACGTTTTTTAAATAACTGTCATTGACTTGATGTTTTCTCAATGAGCAAATCCTACAAATAACATAAAAGAATTCTCTGATAAACACTTCAACAGAAGAACGAGGATTAAAATCAGTGAAAGAATAAAAATGTACAGATAAGAACTCTCTGACGACTGGCATTTAGAGGTTAGTGTTATTAAAACGAGCTCAGATGAAAAGTGATTAATAAAGTTTGTCGTCTATATAAAGTTATTTTTGGTTTGTCTTCTGATCCCAGATCCGCTGGTTTAATTCTCACTGAAGGTGAGAAAGATATTTTTCATCCGTTTGTCGACGGTCGTGTCGTTTCACTTCCAGTGTCGAACAAAAAGTCAAAGTGAATCGAAAGAGCAGCTTCTGTTTCTCCTCAGAGTCTGAAAAGATTCACCTTCACACTGAAAATCCACAAAATGAAAAATATCTCCTGAGACGACCACGTTCCTGGGCAGGTTCTAAAAAAAGAGATTTAAAAATAAACCAGTCTTAAGACGTTTCTGCGCGGCCGACAGTCCCCTCAGTGTTTGCAGTCAAAATAAAAACCCAAAAACCCACAGGTACGACAGACGTGTGATTTCTGTGGTCAGATCAGAACGCTGGACACCGGCACCCGAGTCGACCGGCCGCTCTTCGGCACAACGATCGGCTCGTCGTCTGTGAACAGAGACGAGAAGAATTATTCTCTTCATCCGGTTTGTCCTCAGCTGCTGTTGTTAGCCTGGAGAAACTGACCCCGCTCGACGGTCTGAGCTGCTTCAGCCTCCTCCCCCTCTGCAGCTGACGTGAAGCCAGCCGCTCCGTGTGTCTCACCTGTAGCGACGTAGTTCTCGGCCCGATGCCGGTCTCCTTCGATGAAGAGGGCGGTGGCGAGGAAGAAAGCCCCGCCCACCACAGCTACAAAGGCGCAGAGCAGCAGAGAGAGCTGCAGCGAGCGAAACTGCCACAGGAACGAGTCCGTCCTCCTCAGAGAGTCAGAGACCTGAGACGGACGATTGACCAGAGAGGGACACACAGAACCAAAGATCAGACCATTGATCCATCAAAGAAAAGAGCATTCAAATATTTTAACCAAAAAGAATCTATAAGAATATATATATTATATATTATATATATAATATATAATATATGTTATATATTGTTCTGTGTGTCGTACCACTCCTATCAGGTAGGGACTCCCAGCGTCTCCCAGCAGATGAGAGATGACGATCTGCAGCGCCTCGGCTGTGGCTCGTCGAGTGGGAACGACCACGTACTGAAGAGAATGAGAGCGTCGTTAAACTTCAGTTCACTACACAACAGTCAGAACTCAGGTCGAGCCTCGTGTCTCACCAGCAGAATATCAGCCACGATGGCCCAGTTCATGCTCAGGAACGTTTCTCCCAGGAAGATGAAAATCTGAGGGAGCAGAAAACACGTAACTGACCCCAGGACAGAAGACTGAAGCAACACCACGACGCTAATGTCTTTTATAACCAGTTATAACCAGACGCAGCCTAAGTTGAGATCTGATTTATTAACGACCTGCTGACGACACCTGCTGGAACACTCACGTATGTGGCGATGGTGCTGGCCTCAGCGAAAACGATGGCCAGGTACAGGAACGGTGCAGAGAGCAGCAGACCGGCGGCACAGACCAGTGGGTCGGCTCTGGGCGTCTTCTTCCTCAGCTGCCGACTCACCTGCACGCCGCTGGCCACGCCCAGAACGCCTGTGACGCAGGTGATCGCTCCGAAGATCAGGCTGTCAGAGGAGAAACGACCGGTGAGGTTTCTTTCAAACAGTCTAACACCATGAGAGCAGACGTTCCCGTGTTACCTGTCGGAGGAGGCGCAGTGTGCATCCACACATGGAGCCTTCACCCCGGTGAAGATAGACGCTCTCAACAGGAACGTCGGGGCCCAAAGAGCCAGAGAGCCGGTGACAAACGCCACCGCAGTGAAACCGAAGGTGGACAACACGAAACTGTAGCTGCAGAAGAAGAAGAAGATAAAACAACATGTCAGACTCTGATCAAAGTCACAGCGAACGAGCACAAAGTTAAATCTGAGATCAAACTTCAGACAGATTCAAAGTTACATCACGTTCCGTCTGCATGAAGACGCTTTCATGATTCTTTAGTTTGTAAAATCCTGAGTTTTGGGGCCGATGCTGAAACGATCCTTTACTCCGTGAACCTACTTCTTGCTCAGCGCCTGCAGGTCCATCAGCCAGCTGGTGTGGTGCAGCTGATGCTCGGGTCGAGCCTCGATGGCTCCTCTGTTCGGCTCCTGAACCACGACCAGCAGCAGAAACACCGCGACCAGCCCCAGAGCTGGAGTCACCTGAGGGGGGGGGGCGGTTTCCATAGAGACACCATCAACCACATCGTTCCTCTGAGCTCTTTATTTGACACGTTAACACAAAGTGATCATTTAAATTTACCCTCCAACAAATGATTCAAATGTAAATACATTTATTAACAAAAGCTAATTAATGTCCAAAAATATCTGACAGATCTGCTGAGAAATATTCAGACCAACATTTTACATTTTTAGAAATGTTTAACAGCAGTTTTACTCAGAAGGAGACACGTCCTTCTGCCTGAGAAG